CATGAGAAATATTGTTCTCATTAGTGCTATGCTCTATCTAAGCACCTGGTGTCACTATAAGACAGAAAATAACTTTATTTGTGACTAAAGTCAAGTTTATACTGTTGTTTCTTATGTGGCAATAGAGTTCATATACTATTAAACTTCTATGTGGGACAAAATCACTGCCTATGAGAAGGTATGAGTATCCCTTGAAGGATAAAATAATTACTGCGCCAAGCATGGGCAGATCAGATCTTGCAGCCTGGAAATACTCACTTAATACATTATACTATATCCACTGTATTAAATAATAGACAATTAGTTTCCAGAATGTATAAGTCTGTTATTTTTGTGGGAAAAAAATACAAAATTTCAGTGATATACAACAATAAAACTATATTTCTCATACATCTGAATATTGGCTGAGATGATTGCTGATCCTTAGCTAGGTTTGTTTATGTAACTGCAGGTTGGCTGTGGATCGGCTAATCCATGCCAGGCTTGGCTGTGAGGTTCTGCTTCAAACTGCGAGTTGGTCTGGCAGCTCTGCTCTACTTTTCTCTTATCATCCTTGGACGAGGGAGCTAACCAGTCACATTCTCATGGTGTGCCAGAGTAAGAAGATGGCAAGCCCCACTAGACAAGCAAACTTTAAGCTTCTGCTTTCACCAAACCTACTAATTACTCCTCCCACTCACCCATGGAAGTGGTGCACATGACAAAGCCTATAGTTAATGTATAGGGAAGTATACTCTGGGAGAGTGAGTGTTATTCAACAGTAATCTAATATACAGAATGTTCTGTGTCAACTGAGGAACACCAAACGACAGTTTGAAAAGTTTCCATCGGAGAATCAGAGATCCTTAATTTATACCATTTTCTTGCTGTTCAATACCTGGAAAAGCTTATTTCAATGTCTGGAGGAGTGAGATACCTGAGAACTGTCAAGAGACCCACTTAAACTATCATCCACCATGTGTGTCTGTAAAGTAAGCATTAGCACAGCAGCATGGGCTGTGGGATGCTTTTTCAGAGCCTATCAAACTTTGATTACTTTCTTGAACTTGAAGGGATTCATATTACTGTTAAAACAAAAGGTTCACAAAATTAAAAAAGAACACAATATAATGTGGGCAGCAAGCCACCCAGGTGCCAAGGCAAGAGACCGAGGGCACAAGCTCTTCCAGTATTATAAAGAAAATATATAAAATAGGAATAGTTATACTAGAAATCGATTATAGATACGATGATATATAAATATTATTGATCATCAGTCTGTAGCATTATTCTTTATTCCATTATTGTAATAATCCTTGCTCTACAATTATAACCTAGGAAAAACCAGGCCATACAGAGATATGAGCTGAAGGGGCACGGGGAGAAGTGACCAGAAGACAAGTGTGAGCCCTCTATCACGCCTGGACAGGGCCAGTAGAGGGTTCCTTGGTCTAGTGGTAACGCCAGTGCCTGGCAAGGCAACCCCTACTTAGCTGACCTTGGTCTAGCGGTAGCATCAGTGCCTAGGGAAGGCATCGTTGCTTAGCAGACCTGGAATGGGAGTCTCCCTTTCCCTGGGGGAGTTGGAGAGGACTCTGTTCCACACCTCTTGTAGAAGGCCTGACATCAGTCAGGTCCCCCTACAGCCATCGGGAGGCCAAACCATCTCCCTGTGATGCTGTGCTTCAGTGGTCACACTCCTGTTTCACTTTCATGTGCCACCCTGTACACCTGGCTCTGCCCTCTAGATAGCAGTAGCAGAATTAGTGAAAGTGCTAAAAGTCTTTGAAATGCGTAGAAGAAATAATGGCGTAAGCTGTCCTCTCTCTCTCTCTGCCTTGGCTGCCAAACAGGGAAGGGCCCCCTGTCTGGTGGACACGTGACTCACGTGACCTTATCAATCACTGGAGATGACTTACACTCCCTACCCTGCCCCTTTTGACTTGTATCCAATAAGTAACACTGCAGTCAGGCATTCGGGGCCACTACTGGTCTCCGCGTCTTGGTGGTAGTGGTCCCCCGGGGCCCAGCTGTCTTTTCTTCTATCTCTTTGTCTTGTGTCTTTATTTCTATGATCCCTTGTCTCCACACATGAGAAAAACCCATAGACCCTGTAGGGTTGGCCCTACAGTATAAGTAGATCACGTAAAGGTATGTATGGGAGCTTCTTTTTATAGAACTGACTGAAGAAGTGTTCATTATGAGTGTTTGAAGGACAAAAGCAGAGATAAGTGAAATTAATAATTTTATGATATGTTGTAAGAAGACTGGATTTTCTTTATTTTTCTTTAAATATTCAGTCTTGAGCTGTCATGAGTTGAAATGCAAGCTAGAACTCACAACTCCAGCAATTGGTGTTCCTTGAGTAAGGCTGTGAAACAAATGACTCCCAAATTTCAGTGGTTCACTACAAAAACAACAAAATCATCCTTGTTCATATTATATGAACACTGTGGGTCAGTTATGACTATGCTACAGGCAGTGAGTCAGATTCACATCTGCTCCATGGATCTTCATCATGAGTCTAGGCTGTGATATGCTTATTCTTCTGGCAGAGGGAAAGAATGAAAGATAAACCAAGCCTTCTAACCATGTTTTACAGTTTAAGGTTTTATTAGCAGCTCAAACACAAAGTTTATTTCTCATTTACACTTCTTATTCATTGTGGGTGGACTTTGGCTTTGTCACAACCTCTAACTGGAACTTTGCTGGGTTTTGCAGCTGAGGGGAAAGAAAGGAGGAAAGTTAATGCAAACTTTTAATTTGTAAAGCAATTTAAAAGTTTGCAAAAATTTGCAAAGCAATGCAAAGCAATGGCCTCTAGCTCCATCCATGTTCCCACAAAGGACATGATCTTATTCTTTTTGATGGCTGCATATATTCCATGGTGCATATGTATCACACACATCTGCAATAACACATGTCTATATGGACCAGGCAACTTCTTGTCTTTCTGTTCCTTTCCATTCAATCTTTGCACCAATATCAGAGTGTCCTTTTTAACTTTTATTTTAGGTTAGAGGTACATGTGCAGGTGTGTTATATAAACTTGTGTCATGGGAGTTTGTTGTACAAGTTCTTTGATCACCCAGGTACTAGCCATAGTACCTGATAGCTATTTTTCCTGATCCTCTTCCTCCTACCTTAAATAGGCCCCAGTGTCTGTTGTTCCTCTTTGTGTCCATATGTTCTCATTATTTAGTTCCCACTTATAAGTGAGAACATGTGGTATTTTATTTTTCTATTCCCCTTTTAGTTTGCAAAGAATAATTGCCTCTAGCTCCATCCATGTTTCTGCAAAGGACATGATCTTATTCTTTTTGATGGCTGCATAGTATTCCATGGTGCATATGTATCACATTTTCTTTATCCAGTCAACTGTTGATATGCATTTAGGTTGATTCTGTGTCTTTGCTATTGTGAATAGTGCTGCAGTGAACATACACATACATGTTATCTTTATGGTAGAACAACTTAGGTTCCTTTGGGTACATACCTGGTAAAGGATCACTCGGTCAAATGGTATTTCTGTTTTTAGGTCTTTGAGGAATTGCCCACTGCTTTCCATAATGGGTGAAATAATTTACACTCCTACAAGCAGTATATAAGTGTTTCCTTTTCTCCACAACCTCACCAGCATCTGTTATTTTTTTATACACTTTCTGATTCTTGAAGTGCATTTCAGGGCTGCTTGAATTTCATTGGCCAAATCAAGTCACACGGCAAAGTTTAAAATTGGTGGAGTGAAGGAAATATCCTACCCCTGATAGGACAGGAGACTAAATATCGGTGGACAATAATACAGTCTACCACAACTACAATCATGTGTAACTAGTCATGCATTGCTTAATGATGGGGATACATTCTGAGAAATGTGTCCTTAGGTGATTTTATCAGCCTGTGAACATCATAGAGTGTATTTACACAAACTAGATGGTATCGCCTACTATATACCTAAGCTATATGGTATAGCCTGTTGTTCCTAGGCTACAAACCCAATATTGTAGGCAATTGTAACACAATAAGTATTTGTGTATTTAAACAGAAAAATAGCTAATGGATACTAGGCTTAATACTTGGGTGATGAAATAATCTGTACAACAAAACCCCCACAACATGGGTTTACCTAGATAACAAACCTGTACATGTAACTTAAAAGTTTAAAAAAATACAGTATATATATGGTACTATAATATTATGCAATCACCATCATATAGGTGACCTATCACTGACCAAAACTTCATTATGCAGTGTGTGACTGTATTCTATTTTCTTATTTTCAGAAGTCTCAGCTTCAAGAGGGAATGGTGTTATTTCTGTTTTCATGGTCTATAGTTCAAAGATGGTATTCAGCTCTTCTATCCATTCATTTAATAAATATTACTAAGTATTTTGGAAGCAAAGGACATGCATGTGAAAAGCTAGATACAGGATAATATAAATTGATAAAAAGGAACATCAGAGGACTCTTTTGATAAGTGTTCACTAAAAGAATTGGCCATGTCTATCAGGAAGGAAGTAAAAAAGGAATTGACTTAATGGAAGAAATATATCTACTTATAAATGGAGCTAACTGTAGAAATAAAATTGGGGAATAGTAGGCTATAAAAAGAGTGGCAAAGGGTGGAGAGTACTTGTCAGAAAAGACATGGGGGTAATTTTAGTACTAAAAGGAATAATGGTTTTGGGGTCACAAAGTTTGTGGTTCATTTCCTCACTCATACCTGGATAAAGAAGTCACCTGTTTGGGTGACTCAGCTGTTTGGGCCAATCTCAGCCAGTATTCCTACTGTCTTTCACCTAGATTACGATATCACTTTGAGAGGTCTGTCTTCCTTAGCCATGTGATGAGTCTATGACAATGGGAAAGTCAAACCTCTACTATCAGACCAGACTATAGGTGCACTCCTGGTTTGACCTGACTCATAGATCTGTGAGGAATGAAACCTCATTTTCCTTGTCATACTAGAGAATTGTCAAAGACATTCAGCAATTTTCCTATTTAGATTTTTCCTCTTAACCCCAATCCAGCATTCTCATTACTTGACCCAGGGGCTAAAAAAAGAGAACTATCCATCTACATGTTCTTTCTCTGGAATAGACTGAGCATATAATCATGAATCTGCTTGGTCTTGACTCCATAGATGATAGGATTGATCATGGGTGGGAAAAGGAGATAGAAAATAGCAAGGAGTATGTGGACGTGAGGGGCAGCATGGCGGGCTACACGGTGCATAACTGAAGAGATGACTACCGGAGTGTAGGTGGACAGGATGGCACCTATGTGAGACACGCATGTCCCAAATGCCTTGTAGCGGGACTCCTGAGAGGCAAGCTGGAGAACTGCCTGAAGGATGAAGACATAAGACAGGATAACAAAGAGCAGGTCCAACACCACAATAAACATGGCCACAGCAATGCCATAGATATTGTTGAAGCTGGTGTCCCCACATGCCAGCCTCACCACAGCCATGTGTTCACAGTAGCAATGGGCAATCACTGGGCCTCGGCAGTAGTGGAAGTGTCTCAGCAGGAAGGGGAGTGGAGTCATTAGTGTCACAGCCCGGACCACAGCAGCCATGCCAATCTTGGTGATGAGGGACCTAGTCAGGACTGTGGTATAGTGCAGTGGCTTGCAGATGGCCACATAGCGGTCAAAGGCCATGGCCAGCAGCACTGCTGACTCCATGATGGAGAAGGAGTGAAGGAAGAACATCTGGACCAGACAGGCAAAGAAGCTGATCTCCCGATCCCTGAACCAGAATATGGCAAGCATTTTGGGCAGTGTTGTAGAAGAAAGAACCAAGTCAATGGTTGCCAACATGGCCAGAAAGAGATACATGGGCTCATGGAAGGCTGCATCAGCCCGGATAATGAAGAGAAGGGTACAGTTTCCCAGCAGGGCCAGAGTATAAGCAAAGCAGAAGGGGATGGAGATCCAGACATGCAGGTGTTCCAAACCAGGAATTCCTACCAACAAAAAGGTAGCTGGATGTGTTGAGGTGATATTAGAGGGAAGCATGGCTCCCAGAAAATCTGCTTGTCAATTTTTACAGGGCTTCTTCACCTTCTATATATACTTTCTATAATATATATGATTAGAGTTCAACCTATTATATTCCACCTGCAAAGATTACCTCTTGTTTCCACTGCTAGACTTCAAATAAAATAACCTAGCAGCCTTCATAGACATGGAGAAGCATAATCCATATTTTCTACCCTCAAAGAAATTTGAATCTCATTGAGTAGATAGAATATTAAATATCCATAGAATTGATATTCCAAGACAACTTTCATAAAGGAATGGAGTATAAGTAGTGTTTTCTGTGTTCTTGGTGATGCCATGAATACCTTGAAAAAAGAAGTGAAAATATGTTTAAGTCAGTTCATTTCTTTAGCACATTGGTACCATTCTACCTTTCAGTTGAGCTAAATTCCCAAATGCAAGAGCCAATTTTCTCTCCTGAAATCTCAGTTGAGTCCATGTATAAGTCAAACCCTTCGGTTTCTAATGCCCAAATAAGTCAAACCCTTCGGTTTCTAATGCCCAAATTAATCACACAATCTGCATATTTTCCCTAAAACTACTTTATTTGATATGGTTGCTACTAGCCATATGTCACTATGTAAACTTAAATTTATATTTAATAAATTAATTTCACATTTATGCAAAAACACTTTTCATGTGCTCAATAGCCACATGTGACTAGTGACTACCAAGAATATTTCCATCATTGTAGAAATTTCTGTTTAAGACCACTGCTCTACAGTATATCTTTCACATCTTCTCAATACTCATAGGTCTCCGTAAATACAGCCATGCTGCAAGCATATTGAGAAAATGAAAGGTCCTTTTTTGGTTCTCCATTGAAATTCATGTTAAACTCCCTGTGCATGTTACTCTCCCTCCATCTGTCTTCCAGTTCCTTCTTTTCATCACAGGACAATTCTCTCTCATCTTTAGCAAGACTGACTTCTGACTTCCAAATGTCCTTCTTGTTAATAATTTTTCACCTTTTTATCTTGTTCTGGTCATTTTTCTTTTTTCAGATCCTTAAACACTGGAGTTACCCAGTTTTTACCAAGATTGTTATTATAAAATTATAAAATATATATTTATACAAAATATAAAATATAGGATCCACTTAATGAGGTTCTTATGAGAATTAAATGAGATAACGCACTTCAAACACTTACTAGTTACAGAACAAAGTAAATACTGAAAATAAAAACTTGATCTCTTTTTTTTAAAAAAACCTATTGGGAAATGTAATTGCTCAAAGATATTATAGCTAATAGTGTCAGACAGCCATATTTAGTCCTTTCTACTTATTCCAATGTCCTAAGTAACTAGGCTTTTTGTTTCCATCTAGATGCCCTATATGCAACCTGCATCCAGCATAACCAGACTGAAAACTAACTTCCTTCTATAAGATTTAGAAAATGTTTAGAATCTAAAGTTACTGGCTGAAATCATGACTGCCACATATTCTAGTGGCAGACCTTGCACAAATAACTTATGTACTAGTTTGTTTCCTTCTCTGTTAATGAGAAATAGCACTGAACTACCTTTATCTGAGGGGTATAGGGAAGTTAAGTGTAATTATGTATAAAATCATTTTGTATAATTTCTTAGTGTGCAGAGCTTTGTCATTTATGTTTCTCTTCTGTAGAACTGTTACTTTTTAAAAAATTATTTATGTTGATTAAATCTACCATGACATTAAATCCTCCTCCTTTCAGTCAAACCTCTGCTTTTCTTTATAGCAAAGCATGTAGAAATGTCTACAATCTCAACTCTCTCAAGGATAATTGGTTTTGAAACGTATCAGTCTGGATTTTATTCCCATTACAAACCAAAAATTCCTTTTACTGTGACAATCAATGACCTCCATGATGATGGTGCCCTTATCACTTACCTGGCTTCATGCAACTGGACCTCTGAGCAACTTTTTTCTGAATTGACCACTCTCCTGCTTAAAACTCATTTTTCTCTTGTGTACCACCATATTTCCATTTCCCAGCTCCAGCTTCTGCCCTAACTGTAAGTATTGCATTTTGACAGTTCTCAAGCATGATCTTTTCAAATTTTATATCCATGTCATTCAGAAAATATATCAATTAAATTTAATGACAACTATTTAAATATTTTCACTGAATGGGCTAAGGAAAAATTCCTGAACAAAATAGATGGATCCCTTAGTAGAATAAGTTTGCTAAAGGTTGGGGAAGTATAATAAAAGGATATCATGATTAAATTACATATCACACACAGTTTCATTGTTGTGATTTAAAAACCAAGGAACAGGGCAATTATGATAGGCATTTCATGATAGAGAGCAGGAGAAGTTGAAATTTGAAATAAAAAGCTCATTAAAGACCTCATTGGAAAATAAATTTGAGAAAAATTGAATGAGGTGAGGAAATACTTAACTTCACTTCCTTAAATGTCAGAAACTAAAATTTCATGCCAGTGGCATATACAGAACAATTATACAGTGAACAAGAATAGGATGAAGGAGTGGAACAGGAGAGAAAATATGGATCCAAAGTTGCCTTACTGAGATGGATAATCCAATTCCACATGAAGAACCATAGAGAAGGAACCAAAGAATTGTCCACTCTAGAAACAGAAGAGGGGAACTTTTATCCACTGGCTTCCACACCCCATGGGTCAAGGATGACCCAAGGAGTGTAGATTTCCTTGCATTTTCAGGTCCATACATGCACCAGAATAACTGAATGAGATCCCTGAGGTGCCCATGCAATAAAGCAGAGAAACTCTGGGGTGGGATGCAGCTGAGTAAGGTGCTATCAACCTACACCTACACTCAAATGGTTCCCACAATAATGCCTACAACAATATGGAGGGATGACAGGACTTGAGAAGACCATAATAGATTTGGAATATAGGAGTCACCCAGGAGAAAGGAACAGTCTAAGAAAATGGAACAGCCAGAGAAAATGCCCTAAGACATAAAAACCCTGGTATTCAAATATCAGGAGGCAGCCAGCACAGGTAGGATGATGCAAATGAGCAAGAGAATTGGGTCAGAACAGCGGGGCCAGATCACACAGGGTCCCACAGGCCTTTGTGGACTTTGCAAAAGTTCCTCATTTCTCTCAGAATCAAAGACATTGTTTTCAGCAGAGAAGAGATATATTTGACTTATACTTTTAAACTTTTCCCTGGCATCTATGATGGACAATAGCACAAAGAGGAAAGGGTAGAATTGGGGGAAAGTACCAGGAGACTATTGCAGGAATCCAGGGAAGGGAGAACATTGACTCAGAATCAAGGTAGCAGTGTATGTAGTGGGAAGTAATAGGATTGTGGATATATTTTTTAAATGTGTCAATGGTATTTTTGACATGTTAGATATAGGAAGTGAGACAACAGGGAGTCGAAGATGACACCCTTATTTTTGGCATAAACAACTGACAGGAGCTGCTCCCAATTAAGATGGGAAAAGCATGAAAGGAGGAGCTCAAGACTTCAATTTTGAACATGGTGAGTTTGAGATATCAGAAATTCAAGTGAATATGGTAATACATATAGAAAATAGATCATATTTAAAGCCATGAAACTGTTTGAGATCACCCAGATAGTAAATGTTCAGAGAAAAGAGAACCAGATAACCTGGAACTGAATCCCAACATTAAGAATGGATGGGAGAGGAGTTGGGGCACACTGAGACATTCGCAAGGGAAACTGACAGTGGAAACTATTAAGATAGAAATATTTCCAAGTAATGTACTATCTCAGTATATAGACTATAGTTTATTAACAAGGGGATTATTACCATGTAAAATGCTACTGATGAGTCAAAGAATTTGAAAACACAATTGGCCTTGTGTTTAGAATTGCACAAGAGGATTGGATACCTTGATAAAAGCAATTTTGCTAGAATAGAGACAGGCAAAGCCTGACTTGACTGAGTTAGAATAGATAAGAGGGGAATTGAAGTCTGTTAACATGGCTAACTTTTTTGAGGAATTTGGAAGCAAAGGATGGCAAGTAAATAGGGCACTGGCTAAAATGGAAAGCGAAGTCAGCTGTGTGTATGTGAGTGTGTGTGTGTGTGTGTGTGCATGTCTGTGTGTGTGTTTGTTTTTTAGAACAGAATTATCATGTCTTTCACTGAAGAAAATTATCCAATAGTGAGGAAAACTTGAAACTTAGAAGAAGAAAGAGAATACTGCTCCTGAAAAGACCTTGAATAATGCATCTTTCCAGGTGGTCTACTTGTTGACCACTGAGAATGTAAATGTATCCTGAAACAAACACAAATTTACATACCTTACATTCCTTGTAAGCTCCAGACTAGAATATCCAACTCCATACTTGATATCCCCACATATTTGCCTCACAGATAAGTCAAACCTGTCATGCCTGAGGCAGAAATCATGACTACTTCTCTTCTTGTGCTACCCATATCTCAGAACATAACATCCTGCCCAACCAGTTGCTCAACCTAGAATCAAGTCATCCTGGATTCTTCCCTTTTCTTCCTGCATCGTATTTAATCATCAGCAAGCACCACTGGATCATCCTACATAGTAAATCTCCATGTTGCCCATTGCATTTCCAACACCCTTCCAACACTATCATCCTTGTTCAGGCCACAGCATCTCTCAGCAACTACTGCTACAAAAGAATCCTAACAGGCATACAAAGTTCCACTTTGTTCTCCAATATTTATCCTTCAACAATTACCCACCATATCATGAAGTGAAGGGACTGGGGTTAGGAAACTCTACCTATTTCCTTCTGTAAACCCAGCCTCTAACATACATAGGTGTGGAGCATTTCACTAAATAAAATATGACTACTAGACTACTGGAAGACATATCTGTCAGACTACTACTCCTCTCATGTGATTTAAGCTGAGTTTGGGTTATCTTCTCATTTAAAATGCATCCAGGATGGAAGTTCTAAGCATCCCAGTTACAATACTCTGTTACCTGCACCAGAATAAAATTATCTTCTTAATGGAAAATACTATTTTAAATATTCATAATGTTTGTGCATTTTTGTC